GGCCCCAATGGCGTTTACGCTGTGAATCTATTTTGTATATTTCCGTCTCTAACTTCCACCTCCAATCGCGATCTTATAACAAATTAATAATATGACATTTGCTATTATATTACTTGATCTTTTGAACTTTTTGTAGTGTTACTTTTAGTATGTTGTCTTTTTGTATTGCGGCACATTAGCGGCATGTTTCTCACCCTCTGCTAACATGTGTCGAGGATGATAAATAAATATATCATCCTCGAATTTATCGAGGCACACCCCATGATAATAATGTTTAACCACACGTGACAGATGTGAATCGCCACTAAATAAAGTCACTGCTCCTTGTCTCTCTCAGAGTGGCGTTGTAATTCAAGGACTTGTTGGGCCCCTGGTACTTTGAAGGACATAAATGCGTATGAATCATTTGCTTGGTCATCGGCTCCCAACTAGTTGCGATACCATGGTATCGCGCTGCTGCCTTATAGGTTAGATCGATGATCAAACGCTGTGCGTACAGCCCCCTAAGACAACTCTATACTTCGTCCTGGGAAACCGAGTTGCATCACACCCACTGACGAATCAGGGATAGATTCTTATGCTACTATTTTTGCTTTTACTGCTTCTACTAGCTATTCTGTCTCAATTTCTCAACTTCCACTCCCAGATCGTCCCACTTTCCGTCCTTCAACTACACTTTTACCTTTTCCGGTCACTGCCAACAGCAGCTCACTGGTCTCAGCTGTTGTTCGATATCCGGCGATCGCGGCTATCTCACAGTTCACCGAGGCTCCAGCTTTTCTTCTACTTGGTTCTCCATTCCGCCTCGCAGCATTCATTGTTTCCACTCTGATGCACATCGGACGGTAGGCTTGCTTGACCCGCACTCTGGAGAGTCTGTCGAAAACTAGATTGCAAGACTCCAGTACCGTCATCAGAATGACCTCTCCGACAAACCCTGACGTCAAATACCATTTGCGCTTTTTCGGGGACCCAGAGGCTGCCGCTCCTGGCCAGGCTGGTGTTGGGGTTGCACTTAGTGACAGGGTTGAGACTGCTCTGATTGACGGGATCCCAGTCAACAGTCGAGTGTGTGCGGTCAGACTACGAGGTCCATGTAGGTTATGTAAGCGTCGAGATGTTAAGCGTGCCTTATTTGTCGTTTCTGTCTATGCTTCTACAGACTGCAGCCATGATCCAGTCAATAATTGTTTTTATCAACAACTACCTAACCTGTGTTCCTCCAAAAAATCTGATATTAAATAAGTAAATAAATTTTTATTCTCGACTAAGCGAGGCACGTCTGCACAGGCACGGTAATGGTAAGGGTGTAAGAAGTGACCAAAGAATGTACAATAGTATAATAGGATTGTCAAATCTGTTGATGCCTAAATGGATATGTGCGTGTGTTACTAGGGTTTGTAAATGTTTTGGTGCGTCTTTGCTTGTGTTTGAACATGTGACAAATGTTAAAGGGATGTTTAACGTCCGTGGATTCGAAGCGATTATACGGATAAGCAAGGCGCAGTGACTTTAGTTAGTCTTGAGTCACTATTTTTAAACGGATATTTGTAGCTTTTTATTGGGATCACGCTTGGCAGGCGAAAATCCACCATGTTCTGGAACACTGCCACCAAACTATTCGCTGGAACGGGTAAACCCGAACCACCCAGCTGGCACAACGCAGAGGTTGTTCGGCTAGCCAGACTGATATTGTCCTTCTTGCCGGAGATCTTACCGCCCAAGTGGGCCGCCTGCCACCAAGCGAGCACCATATTGGGGGTTGTTTTGATCTCGGTAGTGGTCATTTGGACAGTGGAGACAGACTGCTAGCTCTGTTCTGATCATCGCTGTTTTCTTCGAGCACCAGTTTTCGACGCTCGAAGACTCAGACGTTTACCTGGCACCCGCCTTCTCACACACAAGTGTGGTTCCAGCTTGACCACATGATAGATAACTACGGATGGCCCGGAAGTGTAAAAGAACTGCCGATCGTACTCGTCAATTTGTTTGAACTCCTATCACGCATTGTTTCGTGCCATTGTTTGCGTGCGTTTCGCAGGATCACCCAGGCATACACACTACCGGTCGGACGTCGACAACCTGTAATACCCTACGACATTATCCAAATACCAAGTTTCTCTGTTGACATTGCTTGCCTCAGCTTCTAATGATGATTTGAATTCACTATGGATGCACATCAAAAATGCCAGCATTGCTAGTTGTGGTTACTTGTAACCCGCCGGAAAACTGGATCACCGCTGTCTGCTTGTCGCTGATTGACAGGCCCCGATCGGTCCCTGCCGACCCAGCTGTAGTGATGCACGTCGATTCACGGATCGAGAATTGCACATGAGTTTTCAAAAGGACTGTGAAGCCTGCTTGTGTGAATGTGCTGGCGAGATGGAATTTGCTAGTGTCTCTGGTAATCCCAGCAAACTTTTCAATCTCATCCGGGTCACCGGAGGCTTCCGACCTGGTGTAAACGGAATACTTTGCGAAGAGGATGGCTTACTGATCACTAATCTTCAACCACGGTTGGAACAATGGGCTGAATGTTTTGGCTCACAGTTTTGCTAACCACCAGCCCCAGCTACCTCCTCTGGAGTGCGCACTAGTGCTGAGTGGTCTGCACCGCAGATCATCGCACCAGGAAATCTAGTAGAAACTCCGCCTACTGATGTCTCATAAAGCACTGGGTCCTGATGCTTTACCTCTTGCTCTCTTTAAGGATGGTGGTAATTCGCCTTTTCAAGGACTCACCGCTCTGTTCTCAGATGTCTGGTCAAGAAAGGAGGACACATCGTTTTGGGATGAATCACTTGTCATCCCCATTTTCAAAAATGGCCTGCGTACAATATACTTCAGCTACAGAGGTAAAAGTTTGGTTCCCGGCGTTTGCAAGCTTCTGGTGTTTATCATAGTTTGTAAGCTATCGCCATTGCATCAATCGCTACAACGCGAATAACAGGCTAGGTTCTGACCTGGTCGCGGCTGCGTCGATCAAATTTTCACACTCCGCCAAATCCCCGAGCTCTTCCATGTGTACCAAAACCAACAGTTATTGTATTCTTGGATATTCGTACTGCCTTTCACTCTGTTGACAGGACTGTATTGTGACACTGTATGTTGAGGAATAGTGTTTGCGTACTGTGTACGGTCTGGTCTCGGCTAGAATTAGGGTTCATGGCAAGCTTTCGACTTCCTTTGTTGTCACCAATGGGGTACGATAAGGATGCCCTATCTCTCCATTCCTTTTCAATTTTGCTATTGTGAGTGTCCCCAAAAGTGATATAGAAGACTTGTTGAACGCTGGCCTTGAGCTTCTCACAGGTTGTCGAGTAGTTGACTTTAACTACACTGGTGATATCCTCTTGCAAGGTTACAGTCCACAGACCGTTAAACTTGCCCTTAACCACTTGGCGATTGGAGCGTCGAAGTATGGCATGCGCTTTTCACTATCCAAGTGCAGAACACGTTTACAAGACTAGCAGATGCCTATACCTCCCCTCACTCTCGGTGGCGAGACACTGGAGGTTGCGGAGAGTTTTCTCTACCTACGCAGTTGCGTCAATGCTGGTGGAGCTGTTGGAGAAGAGGTTTCGATGCGTATCTTAAGAGCTCGTCTCGATTTCTCCATACTGAGGCACCTGTGACGCCGCCGTGACACATTTTTCCACCAAACGGTGGTTTTTTGTGCGACTGTCCGCGTTGTACTGTTGCGCGGTTGCGAGACGTGTTCTGTTCAAACCGTTGACCTGTGCCGGCTGTCTATCTTCGAGAACCGTTGTTTGCGGTCCATTGCCCATGTGTGGTGGCTGCACCACGTAAGCAATGCGAAATTAGACAGCGTGTCTTGGGGAGAGACAACCATTTGCTCTAGGAGATTGTCTCGCTGCACCAATTGCGGTGGCTTCGTCACGGATTGCGCATGCGCGCTGAGCGCCTTCCGCGTCGTGCATTGTTCGCGGTTGCTGATCAGGGCTGGAGGAGGCGACGCGGTGGACAACCAACGATATGGAGAAGCCGCATGAAAATGCGGACGAAGCAGTTGACCTCGGTCAGTCGATCACGACTCCCTGGTTGGGGTCCCAGTGATACGGAGTGTCGCTGGCTGGAGGCCCTGGAAGTTATGGCTCAAAACCGACAGCAGTAGCGGACGTGTATTTCTGCATGTTGTGGTGATACCGTTTCTTTCCCTTGATAAAACAAAATGCCAAAAACTCAAAAATTGTGAGTGGGAAATTGGACAACAACTGTTGCCTGTTATTTTCTTTTCTTACTCTGATCATGTTTTCATATTCCGCCGTGATTCCGATGGCACAGTATCTGTACCACAACTTGTGATTAAATAATCATAGTGGTAATACTAATAATAATAGTAATAATAATAATTCTGTCCCCAATCGTGGCCCAGTATGTCATGTAGGCACCCAGCTCGTAGCTTCACACTAGAACGAAGTTTGTTCGCGACGGGATGCAATCCACATAAGACGCGGAATATTTTGAACCGACTCTTTTACTTGCGGATGAAAGTGATGAAGGTCAAGTACATTCATAGATTAAATGCGTTTTCTTGTTTTTTTTATCATTGTTGTGTTAATGTCAACTTGTCAACGCGCATTATAATCATTCACATTTTCGTTTGCTTTAATTGCCGATCTATCGAATGGGCCTGGTTTTTTGAGTACTGAATTACTCTTCCGATCGTTTCCTTACACTAAGATCCGTGATGTAAAGGTACAGGCGTTTCGCCGCAAACTCTGCTTCTTTGTTTTGAGTTCCAGCTCGTGCATGCGTTTCGGCGCCCCCGCATCATCCCAAATTGCGCTCGTCTGCTTGCGGTCGCGCAGCACTGAAGCATCAGTACAAGCTGCCAGTGGTCACCGCGCCAACTCTCATGTCTGTATGCGGCGAACGTTTGCCACAAAATACTGCAGATCTTTAAGTATCGGAACGTACCTTTCCATCCCGTTATGCACTTTCTAGCAATATCTGTAGTTATCCCGTAACATTTTTCCATGATCTTCCATCTTTTTGGTCTGATTCTTCAATCCACTAGGCCATTTCCATTTCCGGCGCCTGCCGCTCTATTACACTGCACTCAGAAGACCATCTGCACACGTTTGGCAATGTTTCTGTTGCAGTCACATGTGCGTGTGCACTTCGGAATTTACTTAACCTCCACTTTAGTTGATCTTCCGTTCTCTCACGGATCGTTGCTTGATTTTCCTCTGCAACGTCAGAAGTCACAGTTCTATATTCGGTCCATCCAAACTTACTAGCTCTTACCCTTCGGAAAAAGGTAGAATTGTTCAAGTTTCCAACAGTATCCACAATCATAAACAGGACAATTAGTCCAGAAAATGCCTACATACTTCGTAAATGGCAAGAAAAAAAGAAACGTGAAATGGGCGAGGATCAGTTCAACGCTTATATGCTGTGTGAGTCACGATGTTCCACTCGGTTTTATTCTAGCTATCAAAAAATTAGGAAAGGAGGTTCATGAGGCCATACAGCAAAGGCTACTTCGGGGCAGTTTTCCCTCCGATTTATCCGGTGCCGTGTCCCCTTATTGTCGAAGCGTTTCCCATTTCCTTGACAGTGTGAAACCAGATCGGTTGGAGGTGGATTGTGTTCACACGGAATTGCGCTACCGTGGTCGTTTTGATGGAATTATTGAGGTTGGGTGAGTCATACCTACTCTTGCAGTAATGAGTTCTGCTCTTTATTACACTACTAGTTCACTTCTATACTTATTTCCTCTTTGCTCCTCTTTGTCTGAAGTCTTCATTGCTTAGTTCCCCGCTCTTAAAATTGCATCTCTTCGAACCCATTACCATTCAAAGGCCTTGATTTATCATTGCCCATTCTTCTGCTTTATCTTTTCGCTGCCACTTGGGTAGGACTTTATCGGTTTTAGATACTATAGCTTCGCTGTTGACTAGTGGGTGATGCATTTGAGTGTAAAGAGCTATATGAAGGATGACTTTCTAAGCCCTCTTAACTCCATTAATGGAAACGTAAACTTTACTGTGGAACTGGAATTTTGCTGTGGCACACTTCCATTCCTTGATTGCTTAGTTCCTAGGAATGGTGGACGGTTAAATACGACATATCGCAAGCCGACAGATACGGACCGAGTACTCCATTACAGTTCGGGCCATCCAAGCAAGTCTGCCGCTATCGCATCTTCTCTGTTTCACGGAGCCTATACTCTGTACAAAGGAAGAGGACAGGAAGGCTGTTCGTAGACAGTGGAAATCCGAGGCGGTTAGTGAAACGCCAGTTGCAGAGTGCTCTAAATCCGCCTTCGCGATGCCCAGTGGAGCCGATTTGGGACGGTGGGAATCCTATATGAAAAGGGAACCTCAGAAGCACTCTGGCGAGTATTAAACAGGGTAAAAAAGTGTTTTTTTCCAAAGGGTCAAACGCTCCCATTCAGCACTGGTGCGTTTGAAGGATCCGCTTTCAAGAGGTTGGACGACAAATTGCGTTTATAGAATCAGTTACAAAGGCTTTGGACACGTGTGTATAGGTCAAGCAACGAGAAATGCACGAGGATAGCAGAACACAAGAGGCATGTTTCGCGTCCACCGAGAAATGGACCTGAATACATTTTCATACTAAGAGTAGCTGAGGTGTTTCCTACCTCTAGCTAACGTGTATAATGATGAATGATGAGATGTACACGCGCTAGACACTGGACAGGAGATTGACTGGGACAGTGTTGTGATAATTAAGAGAGGAATACTAGCAACGAGCCAAAGGTTGCTTGCTGAGGCGGTTGAGATTACTAGGACTAATAACTTTGTGAACTGGACTGACGGGGTGGTTAACAAACGCTTGGCGGACTGTCTTAACTCGGCCAATCTGAAAAGGTGTCGGCGGACAAACTCAGGTCAGAGCTTAAATCAGCAGCAGCATGAACAAGAATGCCTCAAATGTGCAAGAACGATGACGTGGATCAATGAGGAACGCTCGATGCTTGTTGTCCATCGCGACGAGATTGGACCTTACCGTGGTGCGATGCTTTGTGTGCCTCATTGACCCATTGAGCTGTGCTGGGTGGTGCTTTTTTCCACCTTCAGAGCCACTCATACCAGATTGGCCAATGATTAGGGGCCAGACAAGTTCAGTCTCCTGGCCCTCCAGGATGGGGTTTGGAGTGAAGGTGGCTCCATACTCCATAAAACGGGCTGTCTGTAGTCCAGTGCCAAAGCCCCGCTGCCTTGCGGTCAGGTTTTTTGAACCAAAGGCTTGGGCTGAGAACCGTAATCGTTCTCCTGTCTAGGCCTGGGCAACTTCACAGTAATTTGCGCACACAGTACAATGAACCTTTCTTCTAAGAAATTCTTGAAGCTCTGGCCGTCGCAGAGGATAATCGACGGCGCCCTATCTGCTGCATTGAGCAGGGTGAGTAGGAGTTTGTATGCTACTGCTCGGGCCTTCCCATCTTCTTATTCCCCTTCTTGCGCTTTTTCGTCCTTATCGTCCCGCTCCAACTTTCCTTTTATCGCCCCATCTTCAATCCCCCAATTCTTGGACCACCCCACCTTGCTTCGATAGTCACTTGTCTTCTACCAATACCGGCAGACCTCCTGTGACATTCTCTGTTACTTTGTACGGAGAATGTCGCTTTCCGATTCCAGCACACCTTCTATCGCCAAATTGATGGACTGGCTATGGGTAGTCCGTTGGGTCCGTACTGGCTGATTTTCTCATACTGATGTTTGAGAGGAAACTAAATGGACAGATTTATTAGCTTCCGTATTACAAACGATATGTAGATGATATCCTTGTTTCCGGTTCCACGAAGATGTAGATCGAACAATTAGTAGATCAAATTAATAATGTTCACGCCAACCTGAAGGTGGCTTTTGAATTCCATTCGAATGGGCGTCTTCCCTATCTCAACATTCTCATGAGTCGCAGGGACAGTGGGCTGATTAAGCGATCTGTATACCGGAAGCCAACGTGGTCCGGCCAATGCCTACACTTCGCTAACTTTTCACCGATGACACACAAGCGCGCGTTGGTAAAAAACATTATTCACTCGGGCCAGACGTATCTGCTTTAACGACTGCCTGCCTGAGGAGTTTGAACTGACCACTAAAACACTTATGGAGAATGGCTACCCAAAGCGATTCATAGACAAACATAGCCAAGTTGGACCGCCCAAGGAGATGGTGTTGGCAGCCGCTAAGAAAATGGTGTACATCGAGCTACCATTCAAGGGTGACACCGCAGCAAGAAGGTTAACCAGACACATTGTCTCGGCCATTCATTGTACATACTGTGCTGCGGAGGCGTTAATTATCAACAGAACCCGAAAGTTGCCGTTACCTTCAGTAAAGGAAGATGAACCCGTCGGCGCCAAATCACATTGTGTCTACCAATTCGTGTGTGACTGCGGTACCAGTTACACCGGCAGGACCGAACGGGTTTCAGATTCTAGAATGAATGAACACTTACCAAACTGGGTTCAGCTCGAGGTTACTCAATCCACCTCCGATGATACGTGCTCGCGTAAGCCACCAGCGTCCTCCATAGACGACTCGTCACCGGGTTAATCCCTTATCGGCGTTCCAGATCTTGTTACGTCATACTAATGCACGCCTTTCACGATTTGCCGACGCCGTCGCGATAAGCTGAATTAGACCAGCTTTGTGTGTCCAAAAGCAATTAGTTGTCAACCTGCGGTTGCCGTGGACCTAATCCCAACAATAATAACCACAACCATAAATTTGATTGGCTTGACTGCGCCTTGTAACACAAATAAAACGATTTCCCTGTTTTTGTATTGGTACTGACGAGATAATACGAAATGCTAGCATCTGCCAATATTCGTCTTCTCATTTCGTTGTTCAAACTGACTTCTAGTTTTTCTGGACTTTTGGATGCTCACCGGACGTATTCGGCTGGAAGCGAATACAGTGGGGTTTGTAAAAATCGTGGCAAAGCTGCGTGCTAGCTGAAGGAAGACCGCGAGACCTGGTGGTCTCATCGTGCCTCGGAGATGGAAACAACGCTGTTCGTTCGTAATCAGCGTAAGTTATTCCGTCTGATGCAGGAAACAGGCAGCAGAAGACCTGGTGTTAGCGAGACCATACGCGAAGTGGACAGCCTATCCACAGCCTGTCAAAACGCTTGGATCGTTGGGCCGAACACTTTGCAAGACAATTTAACCAACCTGAATTATTGCTTACTTTTTCGAGCATTGAGCGTTCTTCTCCCTGGGCCGTCTCCTTCGATCCACAGAAGTCGAACGTGAGATCAGGCTGTTGAAATCGCATAAGGCCGCAGGAGCAGATATAATTCCCCCAGCTCTTCAAATTCGGGGGACCTGCTCTAGTAGATGATTCACAGGAGTTACTAGTGAAACTTTGGGAGCAGGACACTGTCCTGACAGACTGGAGCCGCTCCGTCATAGTCCCAATTTTCAAGGAAGGCTCCCGTTCGGAATGCGGCAATCATAGGGGGATCAGTCTGATCTCAATTGCCTCTAAATTACTTACGTCTGTCGTTCTCCACAGACTGACTGGCACTCATGAAAGCCAGATTCGTGAAGAGCAAGCCGGGTTTCGTCGAGGTCGTGGCTGCATCGACCACATCTTCACCTTGCGTCAATTGTTGGAGTACCGCCATGTTTATTGGCGACCCACTGTTGTCGCGTTTCTTGTCATAAAAGGTGCCTTCGGTTCAGTCGATCGATGCGCCCTTTGTTATTTTATGCATAAAATAGGTGTGCCTGATAAATACGTAAACATTATCAAAGCGCTGTACGCGCATATTTCGGGCAGAGTGAGGGTTTATGGCAGACTGTCGCCGCCCTTCAGTATCATCAGCGGCGTGAGAAAAGGTTGCCCACTACCACCTTTCCTATTTAACTTCGCAGTTGACGAAGTCATGGAAACAGCATTCACTGGACACGACCTAAAAGGTTTGGAGCTAATTCCTGGTGATCGACTTCTTGACTTGTAGTACGTGGACGATATTGCCATACATACCAAGCAGCAGTGGACCGATTAGCACCAGCTGTCTATCGTTTTGGGCTATGCTTTGCTCCATCAAAATGCAAAGTACTTCTCCAAGATTGGCAGGGATTCACCGCTGCACTAACGCTTGGTGGTTATCAGCTAGAACTCGTTCAGGAATTCAAGTACCTAGAAAGCCATATTAGCACCCGTGGTATCAAAGATGAGGTTACGAAACGTATAGCAAAATCTCGAGGTATTTTGCCAATCTCCACCGCTTGTGGCGCAGACGCGACATTACTCTCGCCCTGCAGGGCAGAGTTTATAACGTAACCGTCCGTTCAACTCTCCTATATAGTTGTGAAACCTGGCCCATCAGGTTGACAGACATAGGGAGGCTCGTTACATTCGGTCATCGCTGTCTTCGCAGCTTAGCTCATGTCCGGTGGGAGCACCGCGTGAGCACTGAGCGTGTTCCGCGTCGCGTATTTAGTGCAGGAAGAGCGAGTGGACCGCTCAGCACCATTATATCACGCACCAGGCTTTGATGGCTGAGCCACGTGTTGTGCATGTTAGCACACCGACTCCGGCGACGTGCATGTACGCGCGCCGGGGGTGCGGTTGCAAGAGAAG